TTAATTATAATTGAGGTTTAAATGAATATATAACAAATTATATTAAATATAAAGCTTTACCAATAAATTTGAACATAATAAACTTTTTTCCATACTAAATTATGCTTTAATATATATAGAGATAGAGATATAGCTATAATAATAAAATATAATTTATAAAATATAAATACACATAATAACTTCAAAAAATCTTTATCTTTATCTTTATATTCTTTATCTTTATCTATCTATACTATATATAAAAACAAAATTCTGAAATTTTAAATTCCCGCCAATTCCTAAAAAATCTCTCTTCCCAGGCCAATAAAATATATTGATTTCTACTTTCCCATTCGTACAATAATTCTAGGTAAAAATTCTATTCTAAAATTATAAAATAGTGTAATACAATTCACTTTGCACATCTATATTATATATAAAAATAAAATCCTAAAATTTTAACTTCCCCAATTCCTAAAAAATCTCTCTTCCCAATAAAATATATTGATTTCTACTTTCCTCGTTCGTACAATAATTTTGGGTAAAAATTCGATTCTAATATTATAAAATAGTGTAATACAATTCCCTTTGCACATCTATATCTATACTTCTATACTATATATAAAAACAAAATCCTGAAATTTTAACTTCCCGCCCAATTCCTAAAAAATCTCTCTCCCAATAAAATATATTGATTTCTACTTTCCCATTCGTACAATAATTCTGGGTAAAAATTCTATTCTAAAATTATAAGGATATATGGATATAACACAGAACCCTCCCTTCTATCTCTATATATATTAATTAAAGCATAATGAAGTATGGAAAAAAGTTTATTGTGTTCAAATTTATTGGTAAACTTTTATATTTAATATAATTTGTGTATATATTTATTTAAACCTCAATTATAATTAATTTGACTCCACATATATAAAGAGGAGAAATTAGATATGAAATAAATATAGTTCTTACATAAATAATCTTTTTCAAATGAATAAGTTTTTGGTGGAGATTTTTGACAAATATCACCTGTTATTTTATTTACAAATTTTATTTAAATACGTTAGTTATATAATTAAAGTAGTTATTTCAAATTTAAATTCCTTTCAAAAAAAATTCAAATTCAAATAATAATACAAGTAACAATAAACTTTAAAATCAACATAATAATAGCATAATTAAAATTTTAAAAATAGTAAATATTACATTGTATAGTTATACTTACATTTTTAATCAAACCAATTCTGAGCTCAAGACTTCAAGTACGATTTTCTGTTTCCACAATCATTACTTTCTTTGCTAATTCAGAGGATGTCAAAAATTTAATTGGTAAATTTGTTCAATTAATAATAGTTCATGCATCGCACGGGACAAGTACTAGTATGTATAAATACATCTACCCATATAATAAATGCATTCATACTTGCTAATCTTGTTTCTATCAAAATGCATTCACACTTTGGAGGGAAAATTTTATGACTAGATTCTGTTTTATTATATATAATAGGGAAAATTGTAAAAAATGCCCCTCTATAATACGCCAATTATCAATGTCACCCCTGAATTATGAGTGGTGTAAATGTTGCCCCTCAATTATCAAAATGATGCACATATAGCCCCTCCCGTAACGGACCTGTGGTGCCCCACCGCTGTCCATCGCTGGTACTTCGAATCGAGGGAGGGAAAAAACAACTAAATTGCATATTTACTCCGACTTAACGGTGTCGTACACTAACGGGGAACCACATGTCTGTTACGGGAGGGGCTATATGTGCACCGTTTTGATAATTGAGGGGCAACATTTACACCACTCATAATTCAGGGTGACATTGATAATTGGCATATTATAGAGGGACATTTTTTACAATTTTTCTTATATAATAATAATAATATAAAGATATAAAGATAAAGAAGATAAAGATTACTTATATAATGTATGACATAAGAATTTATCTCAAAATTATAAATCAAGAAAATACCCATTTTAAAGGTGAGTATTTTGTTGAATGGAAGAGATGCATGGTTCCTATAGGTAATTGAAATATATGCCTATGTGGAATTATTTTGCCCTCTATTTAATTGTGGATGGAATATGATAGATTAAATATAAATAAAAATAAAATTCAACATTGAAAGGGCCATTATGGTGCCAAATGGAGTGTGTCCCTTAAAAGTAAATTGAATGGACAAGCTTTGCCTTTGAAATAGGTCGATAGCCACAATACCTTATGCGCTATCATTATCACCAACAAAGTCCGCCTTGCTTACTTTATACTTGGAAAAAAGTATGTCATCTTACTAAAATTATTATCTAACAATCAATCTTTGATATATCATTATTATCACAAAATATTTATAAAGTTTTTTAAAAAGTTATTTATATTTACTACTCGATCAGAGTGTGCATCGAGTAAACATCTTTCATGTGTAATAGCCAACAACTACACAAGAGAGGTAAATCGCATTAGGAAGACCTTATGCGACGCACTCAACCAAGAAAGTGTTAACAAGAATCGAACTCGTGACATTTTAATATGAGAATTATAGTACACTCATCACTTGGCCACCCCTTTTGGCTATTTTCCTTTTCTATTTTTATTGATGAATATTATTCACACTTTTTTACCTTGAAACAAAATAGGATTTAAGTTACTCCCCTCAGTACCTTTGACTATTAGGTAATTTATTTATTTATTTTTTAAAAAACTCTTTAACTTTAAAAAGAAAAAAAAAACTAGAGTTTTACAATAGGTGACCGGTGCTCTAGAGGTTTCTTTTAAATATTTTTTAGGGAAAATTGTAATTTATGTCTCTCTATAATATGTAAATTATCAATGTCATTCTTGAATTATTAGTGGTATAAATGTTGCCCCTCAATTTTCAAAACAGTACATATATTACCTTCTCGTACCTTACGGGCAAAATATCATGTAATTGTAGAGAAAATGATTGTATTTTGCATTTTATAATGAAATAAGGAAATCAAGTGAATTTATGTGTATTTAGTAATGACTTTTGTTTGCATTTATCTTAAATTATTTTTAACAATAGGGAATGCAGAAATGGACAGATGAAAGAATGGATTATGGAGTACATTTTTATTAATACAGTACCAATTTCTAAATAAGAATGAATAGGCAGCGTGTAGTGTTGGATCGGAGAAGCAAAGGGAAGGAAGTGAAATACCAGTGAACCCCTCCATCTCCATTTAAAAATAAAATAAAATATCAATTTTACCCTCATTTTTAACAGCCCAAACATTTATTTAACAAAGAGGGAAAGAAATAGTCATTTTAAAAAGGCACAAATGTCAAATAGGCCCATCTATTACTGCGAAGTGCTCAATTCCCACCACGAACTAAATTAAGTGTCAAATAGGCTCATCTACTAGCTTTTTTTTTTTGAAGGTCAACCAATGGGTTGTATTTATAGATAAGCTGCAATAGCATTAGGTGGAATAGTATCCCAATACATAGCTGTATCATACTGAAAAGCTGTAGAAGCCAAACTATGTGCTAAATAATTCTGCGATCTAGGAATGAAATTAACACGACTATAATTAAAAGTAGATATAAGATTCCTGCATCCATCAATAGCATAGCCAATATACGATCGTGACAGCAGTTGTGGTGTGGTCAAATAACTTTGAAGGGTCTGGCAATCAGTAAATAACTCAATACTTTGTTCTCCACGGTCGCGTATCCAAGATAGGGCATCCTTACATGCATACGCCTCAGCCATTAGTGGGGAAAAACAATGTGGCAAGGGTGCACTGTACGCCGAGGTAAACTGTCCATCTGGCCCTATTAATACCGCTCCTACCGTTGCTGTATTGTCTGCATGGCGGTACCCCGCATCGACGTAGCATTTGGGTGGAAAATGAGTTGGAGTGTGGTGTGTAACGACGTGGTGAGCTGCATGAGGCATGCTTATTTCGTTGGACTCCCTTTCGGCTTGGTGGGCAGTAACAATTGCTGCAACGTTGTTGCTTGGTATAGTAGGCAGCATCATCGTCGTTAGTGTGCTCCCATGTATGTATCGCCATGCCGCAAAATCGGCTTGGGCCATGGCTACCAATCTTCTTGGCCGGGGCAAACATGCTTCCCATACCGCAGCATTCCGAGCTCTCCATAAATGATAAATAATTGCAGCTGCGTAGGCAACACCATCAGAATCTAGAATATTTAACATTTCACTAAACCATTCATAAAAAATATTTGTCACAATATTTGGGGATGGAAGGTTAGATAGTTCCCAAATGGTCTTTGTATAATCACACATAGGGATGGCAATGGGGCGGGGCGGGGGCGGGGAGTATACTCTCCGTCCCCGTCCCCGGCGGAAAATTAGAAATATTCCCCATCCCCGTCCCCACGGGGAATTAGGCGGGGACGGGGATTCCCCATTCCCCGTCAACTTCTAGATAAAATGTTAAATAATTTTAAATTTTAATAATAAAAATTTTAAAATATAAATCATAATTTCAAAAATTAAAATACTAAATATATATATATATAGCATACTGCATGTGTATACAGTGCAATAATACTGCCATTTATATATAGTGTGGCAACATTAATTAATTAATTAATTACTTATATATATAACAGTACTTATACTAACAGTATATATATAAGTGATAGTAGTATATTTATTTATGTAATTAACTATATATATATATATATATATATATATATATATATATATATATAAGTGTACTGTTATATATATATATGGTGTACTGTTATATATATATATATATATAAGTGTACTGTTATATATATATATATATAAGTGTACTGTTATATATATATATAAGTGTACTGTTATATATATATATTTGGGGACGGGGCAGGGCGGGGCGGGGAGGGTTGTCCCCATCCCCGTCCCAGTCCCCAACGGGGAATCACAAATATTTCCCGTCCCCGTCCTCGTTCCCCGAAAATTTTCTCCATCCCCGTCTCTTTCGGGGCGGGGATCGGGGATCCGATCCCAGTCGGAGACGGGGCACATTGCCATCCCTAATCACACATAACCAATGCATGCATAATATCCTCATTTGCAACTCCACACATGGCACACACCGGATCAACCTCTACTCTTTTTATAATCAAGTTATTGGTAGTAGGAAGGATATCACTTAAAGCTCTCCATAATAAGGTTTTCCATTTGGGTGGGATTTTCTGTTTCCACAATGTGAGCCACTTAGTAAACTCCATATTTCCAGTATTCTCGTAGTTTCCCAACATACATCTGTACCCATTTTTAACCGTGTAGTAGCCTCTGGGATCCCCATGCCAATACCACATATCATCATAATCTGGGGAGATTGGTATTTTTAAAATCCTGGCCACATCATTGGGTTCAAAAATATCCGTAAGTAAGTCGTGATCCCATGTACCCGTTTCTTGGTCAATTAAATTGACTACTCTGGCACTACTCAGCTGGGGTGGCATTTCTGTCTGGATCATAGGGTCTTCCTCATCTTGTAACCAAGGATGTCCCCATACCGAGGTAGATTTTCCATTCCCTACTCGTCTTCTTACCCCACTACAAATTAAACCCTTCGCCGCCATAATACTTCGCCAACAGTGGCTTGGATTATTTCCAAGAATTGCATCAGTAATAGTTTGCTTAGGATAATATCTCGCCTTATACACTTTAGACACCAGAGATTCTGTATTGGTAAGTAATCTCCAAGCTTGTTTTCCTAACAGTGCCACATTGAAAGCTCTTAGGTCTTTAAAACCCAACCCACCATATTTCTTTGGGATACATAATTTATCCCAGACTTTCTAATGAATTTTCTGATCAGTTCCTGAGCCCCACCAATACCTATTCATTAAACGCTCAATAGCCGTACAAACAGAAACAAGTAATAAGAAAACACTCATCGAGAAAGTAGGCATAGCTTGAGCCACACTTTTCAATAAGACCTCCTTACCCGCTTGTGACAATAACTTTTTATTCCAAGATCCTATTCTCTGTCTGATCTTGTCCTCAATATAGGCAAACGCTGCTTTTTTATTCCTTCCAATAAACGATGGCAATCCAAGATATTTTCCATAGTTAGGAGCCTGGGTCACACCCAATACCTGTGCCACATCTTCCCTCTCTTCTTCCGTCGTATTCTTACTATAACATATACTGGACTTGTGATAATTAACAGCCTTTCCAGACAGTTTTTCATATAAGGATAGGCAACCTTTAATCTCATTAGCCTCCTGCACAGTTGCTTTAAAAAATAATAAACTATCATCAGCAAAGAAGAGATGAGAGATAGGGGGGCACCCCTAGCTACTCTGCAACCATGTATCAAACCCCTATTCTGCGCTTGCTGTAACAACAAAGAGAGGCCTTCAGCACAAATAATAAACAAGTATGGGGATAATGGATCACCTTGTCGTAAGCCCCTAGTTGGTAATACCGTAATAGTGAATCACTACGTGTTCCATTCACCAGAAAGTTGTAGGATACAGTAGTAACACACATCATAATAAGATCAATCCACTTATCAGTAAAACCCAGGGCCACCATCATACCCTTTAAAAAAGGCCATTCCATTCGATCATAGGCTTTCGCCATATCCAATTTCAAAGCACTCCACCCAACTACTCCACACTGTTTCCTGTTCAAATAATATCCTACCTCTGAAGCAATCAGAATATTATCCGTTATTAATCTGCCAGGTATAAATGCACTTTGAGACTCGGATATAATACTATCCATCAGGGGTTTCATTCTTTGAGTAATCATTTTGGCCATAATTCTATAGATTACATTACTTAGCGCAATCGGTCTTAAATCAGAGACCTGCTCAGGAACATCCTTTTTTGCGATTAACACGACATCTGTATTATTCAAACCAGGGGGCAACGAGCATGTATTCAGACAGTTTACAATAAAATTTGAAACATTACTCCCCACAATATCCCAAAAATTCTGATAGAACCTCGGGTTCATCCCATCCGGTCCCGGTGCCTTATCAGGATACATCTCAAACAGAGCATCCCTCACCTCACCAATCTCAAAGGGCCGCACTAATAAATCATTTTGTGCCTGACTGACTCGTGGAGTAACATTACTAAAAATCAGGTCACCATTCATGGGGTTACCAGACGTAAATATATGCTTAAAATAATCCAGAACCACACCCGTCATACTATCCCCTTCCACCCAATCACCATGATTATCCATAATTTTAATTAAAGTATTCTTTTTCCTTTGGTTCGAGGCATACTTGTGGTAGAATTTTGTGTTGGCATCCGCATCTTTGAGCCAGTGATGTTTGGCCCTCTGTCTCTAGTATACATCCTCCTGCATCTCCACCCGGCATAAATCCACTTCCATGCGGTTGTACTCGGCTAGTGAGGCCGGATCGGTACATCCCCTGAGACGGTCCTGCATGTCTTTTCCGGAGCAGTCCAATTTTCTCCCCAAACTTATGGTAATGGTCTCCCCCCCAACGGGTTAACCGGTTCCCACAATGTCTAATGCAATTTTGCGTGCCCCCTCCTCTCTCCTTCCTCCCATGATTCAGCAACTATAATCCTACACCCCTCATCATAGAGCCATGCCATCTCAAACCGAAATCGTCTTGCCCCATCTCTTCTGGCCCCATAATGTCGAATTGCCATAAATATAGCCGAATGATCTGATTTCCTTGTCATTAGATTCGCAACTGTGGCCCCATTAACAATATCCCTCCACTGATCAGAAACAAGTACCTTATCCAGTTTCTCCTGAATCCATCCAGGAGTGCCTTTGCCTGTTTGCCATGTGAACTGATAGCCAGTCATTGGTAGCTGAGCTAAACCACACTAATCTATAGTCTCTCCAAAGCCGCGTAAGAGACTATTCGGGTGTGGATTACCTCCCTTCTTCTCATAATGATACAAGAGATCATTAAAGTCGCCAATTACAATCCAGGGTAAATCAGATTGTGTTGCCAACAATTTTAACAAATCCCATGATTCAGTTCTGCATGTTCTCTCTGAATAACCATAGTAGCAAGTCATCCTCCAATTGGGAAAACCACTTATACTCACCTCCACATCAATATGCGTTTTTGAGTAACCCAGTAATCTTGCAGTATTATTCTTTTTCCAAAGTAGTGCCAAACCACCACTACGGCCCGTATTATCAACATAAAAAAGTCCTTCATAACCAATCCTGACACGAACACGTTCAGCATGTATTCGCCCCACTTTCGTTTCCATAAGAAATACAAAATCAGGCTTCTTCCTGGACACCATGTCCACAATTTCTCGAACTGTCCGTGGATTGCCCAAGCCACGACAGTTCCAGCTCAGCGTACTCATTGTTGTGGGCGGGTCTGGGAACCAGAGCCCGCCTGTAGCAAGTTTTTTGAACCATCAGCCATGTTAACATCCATACCAGTCAAGTGTTCCCCCATACTCTCGTTCCGGTTATCCTGCCTGCGGCGTTTAGCCAATGCCGTAATACCATCCTCCTCTTCAGTTTGGTGCCGGACCTGATCATTCATATCTGGACGTTCCGGCGCCCCACCCTTATCCACGGCCCGGTGCTCCGGCGGGTCCTCAGACGTAAGTAGCCAGGGTTCCCCGATTGGCCGTGGGCTTCTCATCTGGCCAGCTCTCATCCAGACCCCAAACGGATATTGGTCGGGCGTCAACACCGAGTCCCTAGCTTTCAAACAAAATTTGTCCGAATGCCCCAACCAACCACAAAAATAGCAAAAGGTATGCAACCTTTCATACTTAAAGTTTACCCATCCCCATGACTTGTCCCGCCGAATTAACTTCATTCTCCTTTTTAGAGGTCTATCCACATGCATACAAACCCTAATTCGGTAGAACGCTTTTAGAGGCCCCTTCATCTGTCTTTCATCAACCTTTAGGAACTTCCCCATAAAGTTCCCTGTCTGTTTAAGCACCGCTATAGTATTATAACCAACCGGTAGGTTATAAACCTACACCCATAAATCAATAGTATCAAGCACCATATCTTCCGGCAATTGACCATCCTTCACCTCCTTGCATACAAGCGTACAATTCTCAAAGGACCACGGCCCCTTATCTAAGACCTTCCGGACATCCGTTTCGTGATGTAACACAAATTGGAAGAGGTTCGGTTGAAGTTCTGTGATATGCACTCCTTTAACCGGTTTCCACGCCGAGGCCATGACTTGCCGCATGTATTCAACTTTGATCAATCGTTGCGTTAAGAAACGGCCTACCAAGGTCCATGAGTTCGCCAACGTTGCTGTTTCTCCGTCGTCCACCGGCGCCACCTCGACACCATGTCCTCATCCTCCAATACCATTTCTGCCCATCTCTCCGACAAGCCTGCTATGTTACTGCCGCTCGCCGCCATCATATACTGTTTCGTCGCCTAGTAAAACAAGCGGAGACCGGAAGATCGTTCGTCGCCTGCTATGTTACAGTCACCTGCTTTGGGGAGCCGAGGAATCTCGCACGTCGGAAAACCCTAATTTAGGGAGAAAAATCGAGAGAATCCCTTATCGTTAGGGAGAGAATAAAAACAGGCTCATCTACTAGCTAAATTTGTTCGATTGACTTTTTTTTACAGGTTAATAACAGGTTGCCTATTCAATTATTAAAAAATATAATAAATATATATAACAAAAAAATTGTTTATTTGTTTTTCCAATGGAGTTTGCTCGGTACACCGGAATATTGCATAAAAAGATGATAAAACTGAGGTGTGAAAATAGAGATAGCATCCTCGGAGAATAGATTCCATCTAGCCTACGGATGGAAGTCTTTCCGAGAAGCCAACAAGATAAAGATTGGGGATTGGTGTTCCTTCACCTTGGTTAATCCAGACAGCACAGAAACTATGGTTCTGTTGGTTAAAAAACTACTCAAATGAAAATGGATAAATTAAGATCGAATATATATCATCTCATTGCTGCTCTGACCAAACGTGGAATGAGTTGATATTTTTGGATCTTTTCTGTTACTATGTTTTGTGTAAATTTTCTGGGTGGATCGAATCTATTGTGTATAATTTTTGCAAGCTTTTTGACTTTTTTTTTTGTTTGTTCTTGAAAACTGAAACGTTGGATTCAGTTTTAGCATCCATGCTTTATCCTCTTTTTGTAAGCTCTGATAATTTTTCATATTACAACCTTTTTCTATGAATCAGAAACTCCCAACCTTTTGTATCTCTGGGTGAAAGCAAATGGGTTTTGATAACAGAAGACTTGCAATTTGGATTCCAGATTATGGTTTTTCTTGAATTTTGGGAAATTCTTTTTTTTTTGTTATATATATATATATATATATATATATATATATATATATATATATATATATATATATATGTTAGAAATTTATATAGTAATGGAGATTAATGTTTCAGATGGACTACCAAGAAAGCTTAAATAATATTTGGAGTTGTGGAGTTATAAATATTATTTTAGTTTGGTAGAAAGTAAAATGGGAAATATGCTTTTCGTTTGGTTTCGGCCATTAAACTTCACTTTCGGCAAAATGAAGTTTCGGCCAAATGAAACCTTTCGGCCAAATGCTTCTTTCGGCCAGATGATCGAAGCTAACGAAAGTGGACT